CCAAACCATAACTCTGAAGATAAAGCATGAGCAAGATCATCAGCAACAAGAAAATACTAAAAGAGCAAATGGTGTGATGTAATATTCTAAACATGCCTGTATGAGGAAAAACAAGAATAGACTAACAACTTACTCAAAGCATGTCACATGAGTCGACTAACTGGAGGCTTCCTTTAAAGTCGGAGTGCATCTGCCTGACAGACAAGGAACTAAAAGTCTGCATACACAAGACTCAGACATGAAAAATGGATGTGCCCGCAACACTCGGGTTCTGGAAGAAGTGGATGAACAACCATGATTTTCTGCCAGAGTTTACAGCCATTAAATGGGAAGAAGAAGAATATATTCAGAACGCATAGACACAGCATCATATGCTTGCCTGATGGTCTTGAGTTCAAATTCACAACAAAGTAACACTGGACTCCCAAGTCTGCCAGGATAAACTGGGCACCAGTAAATCTCAGAAGATAAAAGATGACCAGCCTGATGGCCATCTTACTCATAGAGTGCTAAATAAATGAAAATACTCTACAGCACGGGGAAACTCTCAGCTGTGACTTTAACTCGGCGGCAGTTTTTCTGCAGTTCAGTATGGTGTGTAGTCGCCGGAAAGACTGAAAGAGGCCCTGTTAGGGTATATTTTAGGCCTCGATAATATGGGACTGTTATTCGGAGGATGGCCACATTTATAATGATTTACGTTAACTACATGCAACAGAAACTGAAAGCTGTAAGTAGACTGAGACTGACAATGATGAAAACATGATACTGTAACTATTGCTTTGGTTGAAGACCGGGCTAAGACGCTTGCTTTGGCTGCTTACTCAACTTACTGGAGTGATAATGATGATGTCCAGGTGTCAATTCTTACATAGCAGTCATAGCTATAATTAATTGAGCCAAAAACTGAGTGTGTGTGTGTGTGTGTGAAGTGTGTCACCGAGTCTCTCTGTGTAACAACTTGCTGTACTGTAAACAGTAGTAAGTTAGTACACTACAGTAACAGTTAAATAAAATGAAGGACATAAGTGAGTAAATCAAATCCTAACTAAATTAATTTTTATTTTATTGCTGCTATTGCTATAGTGTAAGTGTAAGTTCAGTCAGTTTGGAATTAAAAATATATAGTACTAGTAGTAAATATACTCACGCCATCTAATTTGTTGGCGAACTTGAATCCGAGGATCAAACTGTCGTAGGTGCCTACAACGATTTCTATATTATCCATATCTTAATGTGCGGTGGTCACAACCGAGAGCACGATACAAACACTGCAGGAAACACTTCACGTGGGAGCCATTCTAGGGAAGTCTTCAGCTTGTGGAGGTAGACTCATCTAGACTGTGCTATTGGGGTACTCTCCCTTTACTGTCATCATCATCATCATCATCATCATCATCATCATCATTATCATCATCTAGTAATTCCCGCTGGTCTCTGGGTAGTCAGACCGGACGCTCGTGTGTATTGTTGCACTCGTTTTCTTTTAAAAAAAAACGTTGGCAGCTGGAAATAAAAAAAAGAGTAGCCCAACGGCCTGCGATGCCCGTGCAAAACTTTGAGTTAAAATCTACCGTAAGTATTTCTAGACCCTCTCCGGTGCTACGGAGTTCGTACACTGTGCTGAGATTCTTCGGACTCAGGCTTGAGTCAAAAGTAGAACGGAGCACTAACGGGTTACTACTCTTGTACTGTCGTCTTAACAAAGCAAAACAAACAATCTTCCTGCACTGTCTCATTACATTTACATGAGAGCCCTGCATCGTTACTCTTGGTAGGCTCGAGTCACTACAGTCGACGTCACTGAACAGTGTGCTTTCCCCAGTGTGCTCAGTTGATAGACTGATTTAAGAATCGACATCACAGCACACCGAGCATACCCATAGATGTTCCGTCTCCTGCAGCAAATGACGTAAGGTTTAAATGCTAACTGTTCCCGTAGCATATTGATTATTCACACGCCGATCTCTTCTCACCCGTCCCTCCTTGTCGAACCCACATTTAATTCCTCTTTTACACATTCTTGCCCATGTTATTTCATCTACTCTCGCAGAAGACGCGAGATCAGTTCTCCGAGATAGCAGCTACACGAAGGTAATTAGTAATTGCCCCCCCCCCCCCCCCCCCAGAGACGTTGGTTGCCATGTCTCCTATCTTGACCTCGAAAATGGCACCGGCGTGCTTCATTCACCAAAGTTCATTTCGAAGTCATGTAAACAGGTCAACGTCAGAGATTCGTTACTATGAGTCTCCGTGGCGAGGTGGCCAAGCCGTTTGCCTCACGCAAACTACCTGGTCGTGGGTTCGTTTCACAGCGGCGCCTTTCAGTTCACGAGTGCCATTTTTTGGCGATCCCTGGGGATAGTCGCCGGAGCTACCAAGATCGTGCTCTGTGCGACGCTATTGGCAGGCCACTAGCTATTCTGCGGAGAGAGACTGAGCGATATAGGATAAAACCCGGTGCAATGAAGTTGATCCTCTCTACTTTGCCTCTAACTGTAGTCTAGTCCGAGCAGCGATGAAAGAATCAGCTCTACCCATGAATTTTCCCGCATATGGTGGTGCCAACACTTGTTAGCTAGTCCGCTCCTTCATTACCTTTGACCAGTGCTGGATTTAGGCATAAGCTAACTGAGCTGTAGCATAGGGCCTCATAATGTGCAGAGGCCTCAACATATTGAAATATTTTCCCACAAATGCAATATAATTTTTATAGAGCTTCCAAGAAGACGTGCTTTCTTAATATCCTACCCCAAACAGTGGAAATCCACAGGTGAGTTCACAAACTTCTTTTTTCCCCCTTTTACTAAAATTAAACAATATATGTTCCACATCCATACATTTGAGGCGTATATATATTAAAGTTTTCTTATTCTTATTCTTCTGCCTTTCTAACCCCCAATAGAGCATCGGCGCTCAACCAACTCACGCCAAGTTGTTCTATTCTTCGATATCGCAGGCGGCTCTCCTCATGTCCTTCTTATCTTTTTAACTTCCCTCTCTAACTTCTTTCTTCGTGTTTTCGTTATTTCTATGTCCCTGTGAAAAATTAAATTATTTCACAGTTTTATGAGACTAGCTGGTGTGAATTAAAACAGTAGGGCCTGATGCCTTTTTATATCTTAGGGCATCATCAAATCTAAATCTGGCCTTGCCTTTGACTCTGGCATTCCCAAGCGTGTAGATCAAAGGGGAGAGAGGTTAAGTGAGACTTTAAGGCGATATATGATTAGCTGAATTAGGAACCGACTTCACGGCACTCGGCAAATTTTCCATAAGCGCTTCGCCCAATCGTCAGCAGTCATTGCAAGAGCGATATGTGATAAAACCCGGTACGATGAAGATAAGCCTTTAGCTTGTGAACTTTTCAAAACCTAACCTAGTTTACGCTTGAACATTGAACAGTAATAGATTCATCTGGGTAAAGATTCGACATCAGAGCATTCAGGTCAAGCCCACCTTAGCTCCGTCTCCCTCCCCCACAGCCAGCGAAGAGTCTACATACTAACGGTACCCGTTGTCGTCTGGTTAACTACTCGTCTGACCTTTTCCCCTGGTCTCGAGTGGCACACAGAGCCCGAAAACACCCTTGCTGAATTATTCCTTCCTGATACAGGTTTACAATATATTCCCGTGTACTTGTTACCTTGTCACACAGGCGAGAGATCACCTCTGTCTCTGTCTACAGAACTCCCCTGAGTGGGACCAATTCAGCCAACCTATCTGACTGCTCATTGCCAAGCACGCCTAATTGATTGACAGTAAGAGCTGTGCCAGCTCAAACCAGCCCTGCCATCCTATATATCAGCTCATTACCAAAAAACACCTACATAAAGTGTAGTAAAGGACCCTTTTCCACGCCTCAAGGCGTATGGGGCATATAGGGCTAGACCTATATTTTTATAGACCAGTCGGCACAAGATGGGCGATGTGGTCATCATCACGCCGGCCGCCTTCACTTTCCCAGAACTGCACCCGGTACCTACTCAAGGCAGGGTCGACCTGGCAGAAAACACCTACATGGTCAGGGCAAAATGTCTACATGAATCTAACACCCGCGACCTCTAATTGACGGGACTTATTCACTACGAAGAAAACCTTACCGCCACAACCTTCATTCTCATGCTAAATGTGATAATGTACAACGTGGACAGTACAGAATCACGTGCGGTAGCGTAGTGATGTGTACAAAGAACACTGTTGAACACGAAGGTACAATGTGGACGGTACCAAATCACGTGCTGTAGCGCAGTGATGTGTATGATACACAATGTTGAACACTAACGTAAACAGAACAATCGGAGTAACAACCATATATAGTATATACATCCATGTTTATTGTACAATCTTGACCGTGGTAAGCAATCGAGAAACAAAGTTAAAATATTCAGTCATTGATGTTAGACTCCCATTAGTTGCTTCAGTAATTGCTTACTGCTCTGATCTGAAATTTGTTGAGAATTTCTCGAGACACATGACGCTTCCAATGTTTCTACAGCACTCCGGGCCTATTCATGGGTGCTTCGATCTCATCCTCAATGGCTTCATAAGTGTAAGATGACTGATGACGCCTGTTCTGTGTTGATGAATCAAACTTCTTGTCCCCTTATCGGAAAAAAAAAAGAATATCTTAGGTGGCCACTGCTACATATAGAAACAAATTTCCACCACGACTTTCGGTAAGAGTTCTCTGGCAGAAGTGGACAGAACACCTCAGGCAGTAAGTATTACACACAGCCACAAGTTTCCACCATGACTTTCGGTAAAAGTTTTCTGACAGGAGGGTCCAAGAGGACAGAACACCTCAGGCAGTTAGTATTACATACAGACACAAGTTTCCACCACGACTTTCGGTAAAAGTTTTCTGACAGGAGGGTCCAAGAGGACAAAACACCTCAGGCAGTTAGTATTACATACAGCCACAAGTTTCCACTACGATTTTCGGTAAGAGTTTTCTGAATGGAGGGTCGAAGAGGACAAAACACCTCCGGCAATTAGTATTACATACAGCCACAAGTTTCCACCACAACTTTCGGTAAGAGTTTTCTGACAATGCTACCGTCACCATCGCTGGTCATAATGAAGATGTCCTTGAGGATCGCAGGGACACAGCACGGTTTCAGCTGCTGGTTCATCGAGTGCTGGTTGGCTGAGGGTTGGCTCCATCGAACTCGCTGCCTGATGATGGTGTGGTTGGACGTGTAACTGTGGTTTTCTGAAACAGTGAATGCAGGTCAATTGAAGCATAATCAAGACACATACAGAAAACCACGACATTGGGCTACAACTTGGTATAAGTGTGACGATAAAAGAAGAAGAAGTGGTTGAAGAAGAAGAAGATGGAGAAGAAGAAGAAAAGAAAAAATAGAAGAAGAAGAAGAAGAAGAAGAAGAAGAAGAAGAAGAAGAAGAAGAAGAAGAAGAAGAAGAAGAAGAAGAAGAAGAAGAAGAAGAAGAAGAAGAAGAAGAAGAAGAAGAAGAAAGAAGAAGAAGAAGAAGAAGAAGAAGAAGAAGAAGAAGAAGAAGAAGAAGAAGAAGAAGAAGAAGAAGAAGGAAGAAGAAGACTCAGAAGAAGAAGAAGAAGAAGAAGAAGAAGAAGAAGAAGAAGAAGAAGAAGAAGAAGAAGAAGAAAAGAAGAAGAAGAAGAAGAAGAAGAAGAAGAATAAGAAGAAGAAGAAGAAGAAGAAGAAGAAGAAGAAGAAGAAGAAGAAGAAGAAGAAGAAGAAGAAGAAGAAGAAGAAGAAGAAGAAGAAGAAGAAGAAGAAGAAGAAGAAGAAGAAGAAGAAGAAGAAGAAGAAGAAGAAGAAGAAGAAGAAGAAGAAGCGGAAGAAGTAGAACCGAATACTGACACACAGTTATGTAGGGTGTTTTAAAAGTCTCATTACACATTGTGTGTATAATATATTGCGAAACGAAGTACACGACGGCAGCACAGTCAGCAGTGAAGCAGTATGCAGCGAATGGATGTCGTCTACAGGAGTGCGTGTGTGTGCCCGCGCGTGTGTGTGGTTGCAAGAATTTTCAAAATGGGGGTCGATATACAATGATATTTAGCAAAGAAAATAATCAGCTAACAATGAATATCACAGTGAACGGGGTGAAATTGGAACAAGTTAAAAATTTCCTATATCTTGGACAAGTAATAACATGTGACGGCAGAAGCGAAACAGAAGTCAAGAAAAGAATAGGAATGGCAAAAACATTTTCAACAACATGCAAAAGTTACTGACATCAAGAGAAATAAGCAATACATTAAAAATGAGAATTGTCAAATGTTATGTATTCTCAACCTTACTGTATGGCACAGAGATATGGACAATGAACAAACAACTGGAAAATCGTATCAATTCTTTGGAGATGTGGATATACAGAAGATTTGGTCGTATTTCATGGAAACAAAAGCTATCAAATACAGAGGTACTGAGGAAATTGGGAATGAAACGAGAGTTGCTAGGTGAAATAAGAAAGAGACAAGTGAAATATTTTGGTCACATTAAAAGACATAACAGTATTTTAAAGATCATCCTAGAGGGAAAGGTTTAAGGTAGGCGAGCAAGAGGCAGACAGCGCTACAAGTAGGAGGATAACATCAAGAGATGGACGAACAGCAGTATGAGTGAGTGTACATCAAGGGCAAGGTCACAGGTCCAGCTTGTTGGAAATCGCCTGATCCCAAAGTGTCAAGACGTGTATACAGTCTACGTAGAAATTGGCGCATTCAAAGCTCCATTTCTATCTTGGAAGATTTCTTAAGCTTGGGATGATACCTCCTTAGAGATCTGGCAGATGAATCACGGTCCAGCCAACAACCACCAACCTATACCATTCTGTGCACCAAGCATATCCAAAAGTCCTGTATACTGTGCCACTATCTCAACATGGCAAGAGCTTGTTTGTCAGTTCCAGGACCAGTGGACAATTGCAGACACCTATGTCATCAATCCAGAGAACCAGTCTTTAAGAGCTTTGTTGGGCTCTTATGCATTTATTATGTCATCACCTGTGAGACCGGCAGCGGGCATCCCAGTCTCCAACAGCTTTGGTGGGCTCCTATGCAGTTCGTGTGTCCTCGTTTGTGACAGTCAGCTTGTACCAGATCAAGTCAAGGCCCAACTACCGATTGAGTCAACTACAGTCGAATCACCATGGACTGAGGGGAGCATTGACCTACGAACTGGGCTAAGTGATCTTTTATTCACATTACATGCTCTTCTCCCACAGCACCTCATAAGTCCGATGATGAACTCATGTACATCTCATGGAACAATATCTGGCTGCTTCAAAATCTGGGTTGTATCATTGATTCCTGAACTCTATTAACAAAACATTCTTGAGAATCTATTCCTTATTATATGTATATATTGTACTGATTACATGCATACATTTTCATGGCCGACTTGGGTGTCCCTGTTTCACCATTCTAACTGTCTAGCTTTGATGTTTGTGTGAGTAATAAGTGTTATCTGTGTTAACATGGCTATGATAGTATACTATCATAACCTGGGGGCTATCTTTTTTATAGTAGTGGGGGTGTCCAGCCAAGTGTGCCTAGGAATAATATATATTTTGTAGTGCCAAGACTTGAGTTGCCCTACTCCTGAAATAAGTTGAGCGTATATCGGCCACGGGGCATCCCTTAGACCAAAACGAGCCAACGACTCAACATAATTATTTCAGAGTGCTGTTGGTTCTTAAGGAGAAATCCTTAAATCAGGCACGCGACAGGAGCGGTATGTGACACTTCCCCAAAACAGAGTTAGACCATAGCAGTAACTATTTTAACTGATTTAAATATTTTGTGAGCACATTTTTTGATGATGTCACATACTTGGAGTTTTCGCATTTGTTCTGCATACAAAGTGTAGTGAGACTTTAGGAACATTCTATATGATTCCCATATAACTTGAGAGAATCATGAGGTATCTTTGATCTGAAGCTTACGGCCATCAAGTCTATACATTCCACTAAAGAGTCCCGCAGAACTCCTAAAAATCATCTTATCTGTAAGAGGGACTCTTTTTTAATTTAAGGCAAATTAATCAAGTCGTCCCTATGTGAGATGCAATTTTTAGTTATTTTGAAGCCCCACCCTGGCTTTTGCCGGGGTTTTAAATATAGCCGGGCCTAAAATATGGCCTGACGGCTGAAGGGGATCTCCGGACCTCTCCACGGGTGATCCTCATCCGCATGGTGGCATCTTGTGTCACCGGGTATTTATCGCTCTGTGTGATGTCCTGGGGTAAAAAGGGGAAGGGGGTTGAGGGGGGGGGGGGGGTAAAAGTCAGTCAGTCAGTCAATCTAGGACCTTAAACGCGCAATACAGCTTTTTCTAAACATATTTGAGTTATGGACCTTGTCTTAGCCAACCAATCATACCCCTCTTCATGTTCAAAACCCTCTTCCGGTATCACAGGTGGCTCCCGAGTTTCTACCCCGCAGACGTGTGACGGTCATTTGTGTGAGATACATTATTTTATAAATAAGTGGTCCTTCTTGTTTGTAACTGTACTACCATCGCCCACATTTAATTAGAATATGCTACCAATCTTACTTATCTTGGTACCAGATTATCTTTCTTTACCAAATTATACGTTTGGTTTTGTGCCTCCCTTTCTTTCTCATGATCCTATAATATACTTCCCGTCCTTTTTAGGATGAAATTTTTCGTTTTTTGAAGCCCTACTCTGGCTTTTGCCAGGGGCTGCAATATAGCCTGGCCATAAATATGGCCTGAAGGCTGAACGCGGTTTCTGGGACCTCTCCACCGTGATCCTCATCCACATGGTGGCACATGGTGTCATCGGATGTTTATCGCTTGTGTGATGACCTGTTGGGGTAGAAAGTCAGTCAGTCGGCCTTTCTTTCTTTTAGCCTGTGATTGCAATGTAAAGGCATCCTAGTTATATTACTATTAAAACAAAAGCACTGATGTGGCTAGAGACACTATATTTTTCCCATGTGTGCCTTGTGAGTGATTCTAAGAGCATGTTATGAAGATAGAGACCGGATAGAATCAAAGAAAATGGTTGCAGTCACTGTGGAAATCTCGTCTGATAGGAATTCGTTTCATTTTTTTGCCAGGACACTCTGGTGTAAGAGGGAATGAACGAGCGGATTGGCTTACTGGCAGAACCACGGTAGGTACAGGAAAAGCTATGGACCGGGCCGACATTTTCAATGCTCTCAAGCAGGCAGGATGAGAAGATGAGTCAGGAGACTGCAACACTCATAAGATTACAAAAACTTCAGCTCGAAAGAGGTATCGCAAAATATGAAACTATGCAGGTAGCCAAAGAAGAATAGTAAACCGGTACAGAACTGGTGTTTTCAGTCGACACAAGCTGAGAAATATGCTAAAGATGGAATCCGAGCGCCTCTGGACTTTTTAGATGTACAATGAGGATAATCTGTCAATTAAGTAACTAATTAACTAACTAACTTTTATTATTATTATTATTATTTTGATAATGTGTGCCCTTCCAACACCATCATATTTTCCTGAGGGGGCTGCGTGGTCTCGAGGCATAGTGTCCGCCTCGAGTGCTAGAGGTTCCGGGTTCAATCCCCGGTAAGTGCTAGGGTTTTTTCGTGTGGACTTGGACTTCTAATTATTCCCCCTGGTCCCTGGGTAGTGAGATCGGACGCCCGTGTGCATTGTTGTGCATGTAAAAAAAATCCCTTGGCAGTTGGAAATCGAAAAGAACAGTTAACGGCGCTGCCCGGGCAAAATTTGGAGTTTTAAATCTACCCAAAAAATGTCAGGATCCTCGCCGGTGCTAGCGAGCTTGTGCACTGTGCTGAGCTTCTTCGGACTCAGACTGGAGTTAGAAGAAGAATGAATCACTCGTGGGTTACACCCGTGTGCCATGATGTTGATCCGTTGTTCAAACATCAAACTTCAAATATTTCCTGGCTTGTGTAAAGTAAAGTAAAGGACCCTTTTCCACGCCTTTAGGCGTATTGGGCATATAGGGCTAGACCTATACTTTATAGACCAATCGGCACAAGATTAGTGATGTGTCAGCATCACGCCGGCCGCCTTTACTTTCCGGAGCTGCACCCGGTACCCACTCAAGGCTAGGTCGACCTGGGAGCCAAGGGCACTTTTGAAATAAGTCCGGCTCCGCCATGGAGCGAACCCACGACCTTCCGATCCACGGCGCGCGTCTAGACGCTCTGCCACGGCGACTCCCCTATCACACATGGGTACTTTAGTGACTCAGAAACACAACAGTGTAACCCCTACTGACACAGTCTAATAATTTATTGTGACAGAATGCCCGCCTTATGGTGAATAACTAAAAAAAAAAAAACACACACACAAACATACCGTTACATTCGCCGAAACAGTAACCAACGGACAGCTGTCTAGGCTGCAGTATATGCGGCATCCCAATATCCTGGAAGTTAACCAAAAGTTCCAGTTTGCAGCACTCATACCGAGGGTCGCATGAGATGGATCGCTTGCTACGCAGCAGATGACCGTCCTTCATGTATTTGATGACAAGCAGAGGTTTATATCCGTGCTGTGTGAAAACAACATCAGTGATTTTAGTAAACTTCATAGGGTAATACAGTCCACAGTGTTCCGTGTATTGCGCTCTATTCAACAGTTTACATACATTCTAAGGTCTATCAGGAAGTCGCCGTGGCGGAGCGGCTAGACGCTCGCCGCGGATCAAAAGGTCGTGGGTTCGCTCCCTGGCAGAGCCTGACTTTTGTTAAAAATTACTTTGGCTCCCAGGTCGACCCAGCCTTTAGTGGGTACCGGGTGCAGTCCCGGGAAGTAAAGGCAGCCGGCGTGATGCTGACCACATCACCCATCTTGTGCCGATTGGTCTATAAAAATATAGGTCTAGCCCTATATGATAGGGCCTGAAGGCCTAAAGGCATAAAGGCATATAGGGCTAGACCTATATACTTTACTAGGGTCTATTAAAACGGTCAAAAATGCTGGGTTCTTGTATAGGAAACTCATTACGAGTGCTTGGTAAAGTCACAGAATTTTTTTTTTAACAAAGCGGTGGCAGGATTATGGCCTGCACCAACATGATTCAGAGAGGGCTGCAACCTATGTCCAAGGCATTCTCTTTATCGTAATGGAAACGTAAATGCAAGAGAAGACATAAAGCAAACAGCAGTGCAGGACACACCAGTAACCTCCAGGAAAGCGACCAGCCCAACAAACTTGTGAATGAAAAGTGACCTACTATATTTCTAGATTTGGGAAGATTGACGTTTAACCGCATTAGCTTTTTTATTTATTTATTTATTTATTTATTTTTTTTTTTTTTTTAGCAATTCCCTGGGCCTTGTGTGTGAATAGGTTGAGAAACACTGATCTAATGCAAAAATGGCAATATAGCGTCAGGGAATTCCCGGTCACTGACAGGTTCAAAGATAACCCACCCCCACAAGATCTTACCTTGGCCCCATAAAGTGCCCGGTGACCTCTGGTGGCACATGTGACACACCTAATGGCGATCAGTTTGGTCCCTTTCCTCTTGTCCACCCACTTCACCAGCGACCTGGTGACGTTCAGCTCCACCCAACCTTGTTTGGTCATCGTGTCCAGGCTGGCGATCATGCTGCTGTGGTACAGTCGGCCACTGTGCAAGCAGAAATTACAATTTCTGAGTAATCTCAAAAAACCGTCAGTTCGGATAAAGATAATTTAAAAATGGCAGTTTTATGGTAATTTATTTCACGCTTTCAAGGTTTTCATTTGAAATCCCTATTAGTTCGAAGTTAGTCTCCCCAGACCTGCCCATTTACACACTAGCTCACTTCTCATTGGTAGTTCCTGAGCCCCGTGTCCTTCGCAAAGGTTACGAGGGTGTTCCGAGATGCCGTTGATATCGCGTGTTGTATATTTCAGCACGCCAGCGCTTTGAACACTCCAAAAACATGGAGTAGGGGGGTCTAACAAAACCCCCCTAGAGAGTGCTGCAAACTATGTCACTTGCATTCTCTTTCTCGGAATGAAAACATAAATACAAGACATAGCAGAAACCAAACAACAGAGCGGGACACACCCGTAACCTTCAGAAAAGTCGACTAGTTCAAAAAACTTGTGAATGAAAAGTGACCTACTCTGTTTGGGGAGACTAAAGTCGAACTAACAGAAATCCCCTAGTATAACCTGATGCCCCATTCAAGTATCTAAACCTGACGGGGAACAGTGAAGCCATCGTGACTACAGTTACGGTCTCCTTTATCTTAGTGTCCACTGCTTGTAAAATCCTTTGGAATGTTCTGGTTGGTCGTCCGCTTCTGGACTTTGGTCTTGTTTCAGAACGGGAGTTTTCTATGCACACCCTTTTACTGACTTTGGCACACTGTTGGTTCCTCGTCTCTGAGGAACTACGACTTCGAAGGAATCTCCCCTAATATTTCGACTACAACATCATTGGGGAGTCGCCGTGGCATAGCGGCTAGACGCTACATTGGCTCTCAGGTCGACCCAGCATTGAGTGGGTACCAGATGCAGTACTGAGAAGTAAAGGCGGCCGGCGTGGTGCTGACCTCATCACCCACCAAGTGTCAATGGTGTGTAATATTTTATGGGCCTATGACCTTACATGTCCACTTCGACCAATGATGTGGAAAAAGGTCCTTTAATTTTTTTTCTTCTAATTCACGACATGCTTGTTAGGGGGCAGCGAATCTACCCCCTGCCCCACCCACCCCCACAAAATGGGGCCCGGGGACCCACAAGAGAAACTACAGTGAACCAAGCTCGGAGTGTGCCTACCTTTTCAGACGCTCCAACTCGTAGACGGTCACAGTCTGGCCGATCATATCGTTGGCGTCCTCCATCTTGTACAGCCAGAGCTGGGCTTCCGCCACCTCGCCTCGGATACGGCCTTTCAAGTGGAAGCTGTAGCAGCCGGTTACATGCAGCTTGATGCAGTCGCGGCCCACTGTTGCGAGAGGCAGAGATGTCTCAGTTTGTGTATCAATTACAGGCTCCTACTACGGACCAGCTCATTTTAGAGTACAGCCATAAACTGAACTGGCTCATTCTAGAGTACAGTCATACACTGAACTGGCTCATTCTAAGTACAATCATACACCGAACTAGCTCATTCTAAGTACAGTCATACACTGAACTGGCTCATTCTAAGTACAGTAATACACTGAACTGTCTCATTCTAAGTACAGTAATACACTGAACTGGCTCATTCTAAGTACAATCGTACACTGAACTGGCTCATTCTAAGTACATTCATACACTGAACTGGCTCATTCTAAGTACAGTAATACACTAAACTGGCTCATTCTAAGTACAGTAATACACTGAACTGGCTCATTCTAAGTACAATTATACACTGAACTGGCTCATTCTAAGTACAGTCCTACACTGAACTGGCTCATTCTATGTACAATCGTACATTGAACTGGCTCATTCTAAGTACAGTCCTGCAATGAACTGGCTCATTCTATGTACAATCGTACACTGAACTGGCTCATTCTAAATACAGTCATACACTGAACTGGCTCATTCTAAGTACAATCATACACTGAACTGGCTCATTCTAAGTACAGTCATACACTGAGCTGGCTCATTCTAAGTACAATCATACATTGAACTGGCTCATTCTAAGTACAATCATACATTGAACTGGCTCATTCTAAGTACAGTCATACACTGAACTAGCTAATTCTATGTACAGTCATACACTGAACTGGCTAATTCTATGTACAGTCATACACTGAACTGGATAATTCTATGTACAGTCATACACTGAACTGGATAATTCTATGTACAGTCATACACTGAATTGGCTTATTCTAAGAACAATCATACACTGAACTGGCTCATTCTAAGGGTAATCATACACTTAACTGGCTCATTCTAAGTACAATCATACACTAAACTGGCTCATTCTAAGTACAATCATACTCTGAACTGGCTCATTCTAGGTACAGCACAGTCATACACTGAACTGGCTCATTCTAAGTACAGTTATACACGGAACATGTTGGCTCTATGTACACGTTCATACACAAAACTTTCTCATTATGTGTACTCTGTCATACGGTAGGTTTTCTCATTATATGTTCGCCAACATAACCAGACTTTCTCAGTATCTGTACATTGCCATACACCCTACTTTCTCCTCATATGTACACAGTCAAACTCAAGAATTTCTTATGTTGTGTACAAGGTCATACAACAAAAGGTTCGCATTCTGTTGCAGGGTATATGTATTTCCTAGTGGACTTTCGTTTCTCCAACAATCGAGCACACTTTTTCATTGTCAAGTTTCTGTCTCCTCCTCTCGAGTACAGTGAGGCTAGATTTTTTTTAATTTTGTCGAAAATGATCTTGGCTGACAGGTCGAACCAGGATTTAATGGGTACTAGATTAGGTCCTTGGAAGTAAAGGCGGCCGGTAGGATTTTGACCCCATCACCTGCGGAGTACCAATTAGTCTGTAAAATAGAGGGTTAGCACTAAATACACGGAAGTCGTAGTGGTGTAGTGGATGGACGCTCGCCTGCGGATCGGAGGGTCGTGGTTTCGGATCCTAATAGAGTTGGCTTTTTACTTCTTTCAAAAATAACCTAGGCTACCAGGTCGACCCTGCCTTGAGCTGGTACCAAATAAAGTACTGGGAAGTAAAGGCGGCCTGCGTGATGGTGACCATGTTACCAACGGAGTACTGATTGGTCTATAAAATACAGCTCTAGCCCTATATGCCCAATACGACTTAAGGGTTCTTTGCATCTTTTGTAACTCACTTTCGAAAACGCAATTTTCTGGCGGGCTTTCAAGTATGTCAGACTGAAATAGACAAAAGTCTCACCGGGTTGTCACAATAGGTACAATACAAGCGTGCCTACACCGAACAATACGACAGAGAATGTAAACTAGAAGACAAGCGATAACTGAAGCAAAAACAGACATTAAGAAGGGAACCTACTGTCTTCCCCGGCAATGATTATCTCCTGGTCCCTGGCGTGGAACTCGTCTCTCTCATACTCTCTGGCGTTGTCCCTCAGTGTCTCCTCCACCAAGGAATCAGGGATGATAGGTATATTCTCCTCCAACCTCCCTCCGGAGTTATCAGACAAACTAGCTGGGTCCCAGCGGAGCTTTTGGACCAGAAGATTCTTAAACATGTTCAGTCTCATTGTTTTGATAAGTTCCTCTGTTGGGGTGTGCTGTCTACAAGATGGGCATTCCGAAGAGTCGTTGCCAAGATGGAGGTCTTCTGTTGATTTCCTGTCATCGTTTAATGTGCTGTTGACATACTCGTCTTCAAGGACATTGCCCTGTGTCGTTAAGTTGTTCACAACTGGCAGTTCTGTATCTTCAGACATATCATTCCTTGAGTCTAAAGTTTTATGGTTGAGAGTGTCCGTATAAAACAGCTTACCAACATTATCCTTCGTACTGTTGTCTACATTGTTGTACTCCGGGTGCTTTCTTCCTTGCCTGAGGTCACTAGCCCTCAGAGTTGACTCATCTTGATAGTTCTCAACCACTGACCCCGACTGGCCTATATCTGGTAACTGGTGTGTCAGATTGCTCCCATCATTCGCCATAGTGTTGTAATCAAAGAAAGAAGTGTTGGTGGAGTTAAAAGCTGGCTCGGAGTGGCTAGAAAGGTAGTGTGTGTGATTCCTTGAAGCACCAAAAGAGGTGTCTGGCTGACTCATCAACCATGACGGCCTATTTATCCGTTTAGTCAGCTCCAGAAACCAATCTTTAATGGTTGATTTCACTCTCCCGACAGTTTTAGTACCATCTGCTGGCTTCACACGAGACGCCTGCATTTGTTGACTATGGTCACTATTTCTTGGGGGTGATTCCCCCTTGGTGTCATTTTCTGAGACGGACTCTGCGTGTCTCGTGTTTTGGTTTGTGGTAGTACTTTCTAGAATTCTATGGCTATCACTTTGTGAGGAGTTTCCAAATTTTTCCAATTCCTGTGACACACCAACAGCTTTTCCCAACGTGTAGTTGCCTCTCCGAGAAAAGCTATGTTGATTTATTTTGTCATCAATGTCCAAGTTCACGGATTGGTTGCTTAAGTTCTCCCCCACTGTCTGGGAAAAGTTGTAGCTCACCGCATCTCTAGCCATGTCTTTTTCATCCTCAACATCATTCCCGTGTTGTTCAACACTGGTCAACGGAAACTTCCGCACAGACCGATGATGGTGGCCATTCGCTGACACACTCACTAGCACCTGATGAGCAGCCAGCAGAAGCATCACCAGTCTCTGCCGCGTTCTCGAAATCTGCATCTTTTTCACTTCTGTTTAAACCTTGAAATACCTAGTCATTCTTTATAGACTTGTAAACAATCAGAGATGTTGTTAGGCCTCATGTGATTGCCACTGGTCATCTGAAAAATAGTTGAATTAGATTTGTCTGCTTCAAATTGAAAATATGATGTAACTGAAAATAGATATTGCGCTAATGTTGTAGAAGTTAACATTTCGACAATGTAATTGGATGGGGAAAACGTTATACTGACAACCACAGCAACATTAGATTAATTTAACTGCGAGTTAGACAAAATAATGTGACAGTGAGATGCTCTGATAATAAAATAATGTAACTGAAAAAAAAGGCTATAAAAATACATTTCAGCTCGATAGCTTATCATGAAATAGTGTAAAACGAGACAAACAAACAAATAAAATAAAAAGTAACCAAAGCTTATTTAAAATGATACTCGTTGTGATAATAATAAAATGTAACTGAAAGATAATGTGAATAAAGGTGATAATAATATAATGTTAATGAATATGGCAACGGATTATGATGAATTGTTTCCGCACGTTAGTGTGACTGACTGTGACAGCAATAAAAAGTAACAGAATGCGACAAAAACAGATATATAATATAATATAATATAATATAATATAATATAATATAATATAATATAATATAATATAATATAATATAATATAATATAATATAATATAATATAATATAATATAATATAATATAATATAATATAATATAATATAATATAATATAATATAATATAATATAATGTAGTGTAGTGTAGTGTAGTGTAGTGTAGTGTAGTGTAGTGTAGTGTAGTGTAGTGTAGTGTAGTGTAGTGTAGTGTAGTGTAGTGTAGTGTAGTGTAGTGTAGTATAGTATAGTATAGTATAGTATAGTATAGTATAGTATAGTATAGTATAGTATAGTATAGTATAGTTATAGTATAGTATAGTATAGTATAGTATAGTATAGTATAGTATAGTATAGTATAGTATAGTATAGTATAGTATAGTATAGTATAGTATAGTATAGTATAGTATAGTATAGTATAGTATAGTATAGTATAGTATAGTATAGTATAGTATAGTATAGTATAGATACACACAAGCTACAATCTTAGAAAGACATAATTTGTTCATAGATACACATAATCTACAATCTTTATCCACACACAAAAAAAAACTGAATTTGTTCATAGATACAGTCTACAATCTTTCTCCAGAGAAAAACCAAAACGTGTCTGACAGAGACACAAAACCTAAAAAAAAATTTTCTACAGAAACACACAATTTGTCTCACAAATACAGACAATCTACTATCTTTCTGCACAAAAACACATAATTCCCTCCCCCTCAACCTTTTTACACGTAATCGCAATCTTTCTGCACAAAAACATGTGACTTGTATACACAGAACCAAACGTTCTGGGAGAAACACAGAAACACATATCATCTGTCCACAAAAACTCAACAGCAATATAAACTAAGACTAACGTTGCGACCACTTACCGTCTCCGCTTTCATCAAAGCCTGAAAACTGCCTACATGACTCGTAAAAAAAAAATATACCGTGCTTATCCAACAGGGCAGACTGTCAAGAGCACAACTGACTGTCTTTCAAACCTGCTTGTCTTTGATGTAATCCTGGCTGCAAGCAGAAGTTGGCTGGAGATGTCTGACCAGCGTGCTCGTGGGAGAGGGGTGGGGGAAAAAAAAAGGGGGGGGGGGCCTCAAGGGGGATGAGGGGAAGGCAACATGGTAGACCACAAAGGTGGTAGTGTTTTTCGATGTGGGAAACATTCCAAGGAATCAGCTGCTTGTCGGTTTCATCAGATGCGTCATTCCATGGAATCAGATGCCGGTCGGTTTCATCAGATGCGTCATTCCAAAGAAATTTGCCAATTTCATCAGATTCATTCCGTCATTACTGTTTCCTTTCTTGTGTTTTCGTCATATTCCGTTCGCAGTCTCTCGGTCCCTTGAAGAACTGTCTTTTCTGCCTCATTTATGTATTTGTTCGTTTGTTGTACTCTCTTTCCACCCCCTCCCCCAAATTAAAATTTGTTCCTACTATATCTTTTGTCTTTCTCGCTTTGCTCTCGTGTTTCAGCGTGTAAATCTTGTTCTGTCTCGTTTCTTCCCCTCTCTCGTTCACAACCCCTCCCCCGACCACCCGCGCTTGAATGTATTTTTACTATATCATATCTTTTCTCTTTCCTCATTTCCTCTTGTGTTCAAATGTGCAAATCACTATTCCCCCCCCCTCTCTCTCTCTCTCTCTCCCCCTCTCTCTTTCTCTCTATCACTATCTTTGTCTTCACTATGTATTTGTGTCTTGTTCGTCAACCCTTCACCAACACGACCTCTCACTTTCTACCAGCTAAACAACCCTGAATCTACAGACTCAGAAGCATGATTTGTTTTGGATGTCAGAACTCATGTCACCCAATGTCATCATCTCATAGACTACCAGAATTAAGTAGAATCATTCACATGATTTACATCACTACAATATAGCAAGTCCTTTGCACGGCGTCGCTCTTATCATCACGCCGGCCGCTTTTACTTCACACGACTTTACCTGGTACTCGTTTATGGCTGGGTCGACCTTGGAGTCCAGGCCATATTGGATAGAACGTCCGGTTCCGCCAGGGTCTGAACCCACAACCTTCAGATCCAAAGGTGGGCGTCTAGCCGCTACACCACCACGGCTCCGCATATAGCCATAAAGTACAATTATATTGGGGCACCACAGAACCGATTGCTAACTAACCTAAAGTCCAGTGTGGGTGGATATGTGTCGGAGCTGATAATGGCGACGTTAAATCCCATCAGGACATCACACTCAACTATAAACACCCGGTCACACAAAGTGCCACCATTCGGATGAGGACAGGTCCCAGAAACATCGTTCAATCCGTAGGGTTATATTTAGGGCCTCCAACCACAACCGAGGTGGGGGCTTCAAAGTAAAGAGACAAAATGCGTCCTTTATGGGGAAGGACTTTTTAATAACGCACATGCCCGGCTCTCTAGCGTATTTGGCTAAATCGGATTGCGCGGTGACCGGGTGACGAACTCCTTGTGGTCCGGGTTCACTTCCAGGGGGGGGGGGGGGGGTAGGCAGAAAAGCCACATTTTCTCCCAGATTTACGGTAGCTATCATGGAATCAAGGCCCAAGTGTTGCGATATTCATAGTACCGAGCCAAAGGGTTAAACAACTCATAGTTTCTGGATATAAATAATAATAATAAAAATAATAATAATAATAATAATAACGCACATGTGGTGGAGTTATCATGTTTTAAATCGTCAGTAGGACACAAACAGCACGTAACACCAGCTTACAAATACCGCCGGCAAAAGGCAGGCCGAGGTCCTCGCAACTGAACCGTGACGGCAAATGGGGCAATTTACTGGCATCTGTCAGTCAGCGGCCGGCGAGCAGAGGTTTTCCAACTCACAAACAAGTTCTAGAAACAGCTTACTCACTCACAGGGGCAACGTCAGCCGTAAACATTCAAGGTCAGCAACCCAGAGCCGCGTGAGAAAGCCTGGACTTTGAACTCGTTTGCTAGAAGTTTCCACGAACTGGGCGGTTTCATCCTACACAACTTACACGGACAACAAGTAAAGTTTAGGGATAACATCACAGAGTAACGTACACGGACAAAAATAACACATAAACATGCATAGCACACATGGACAACATATCACACTCTGCAATCTACAGGGACAACAACGATATACTAGGATAACATAAACACAACACACTGCAACACGTACAACGCACTAGTCAACATAGTAACACAGAACACAGTAACAATACACATTCCTTGCACGGACACAGTAACATACCAACATGGACAACACTAACAAAACGGACAAAACAGTAGTAACATTCAACATACTCGGCACATAACACAAATGCATAACTTACACGGACAACATACGCACAATACTCACACACTGCACGGACACGATTACACAACATGCAGTATATAAACGCACACTACATACAGTAACATACATCTAGCGGGCAGACTTTATACTAAATAAAAGAGAGAATGAGGAACACATGTCAATAATATAGCACAATGTCTGCAATGTGTTCACACAGCAGCTAGAGACACTCGACAGATCCATCTGTGCTACGTAAGAAGAAACTCCCCAAGGGAGCATGTACAGCTGGAGTCTACAAATCATCAGTTGAAATTATCCCTCGTCCACAACTGTTTCGGCCCACGAGCTCCTAAACAATTTCAGAGGGTGGGCCTACCTGAGTTTATGAGGCTCAGGCTTGATCTGATCTTGCTGCACGTATTACCGGATGTTCTCGGACAGGGACAAGACGAAAATGGTGAATATGCAACAGGTACTGTGAGATTTGAAGTTTTATTTACATAGTCGCTGCAGTAGCCTAGTCAGCATACCTTGACAACCAAGTGGCAAGCTTACGGTTGGTTAATCAGACACATGTTGGACTTTGTTGGCAACTGGGAGAGGGACACCTGCAGAAAAATCGAACACGATGGACTTAAGACTTTCTTTTCCTAGATACCAGAATCAGCCTACCGAGGCCCGTCCCCCACGACGTTCCGTTGTGTCCAGAGCCAGCTCGAAGAGCCCTTTTAGCATTATTCGGTACAGCTCTAATTTGAACCAAACTTTACAAATGCCGTTCTTAATTATTGAACAAGGCAATCGTTTCTTTTCCGGTATGCTCGTCAAAGTACACAAGTCCACTTTCGTGCTGTTGAATTACTTCTGATGTGGCAACTCTAGACTCCTCGTCACGGGTGACAACATAGACTTCACAACGTTCGATGTGTTCAGGCTCCGTCCC